CTGGGAGCATGGAGCAGGAACAACAAAGAGCAGGGGTGGGGTGACAGAGGAAGGTGATTTGTGAGCTCGTGTTCTACTTTGCAGGGTCCTGAAACCCCTGCTTCCTGCCCTCGTGGAAGTGTGCTCCCCCCTCGCCCCACCACTCCTCTGGGCAAGCTACCCTGTTTGCTCCCTGTTTTGACATGTCAGTGTGGCATGCATGCCCCTCCAGTCCACGCTCAAGAGCCCACCACAAAGTCCTCCCTTGGCCCACATTGCTCTGCCCTGTCCTAGGCCATCTCCTTCACCTACAGCTCTTTCCAGCTGGTCTGAAGATGTCCAAATCCTATTCAAACAGGCCAGAAGCCACTTTCTCTACAAAATATTTCCATGACCGCTCAGTCAGAAGCAGCCACTCCCTCCTCTGAACTCCTGGAATACTCCACTGGTGGCTGTGGCGTGGTCCTCAGTACCTCCTATTTTACACTCAGGATTAGAAGCACCTCACTCCTCCTGGGCTGGGCCTCCACCCATCTGTCTTCACATGCCCTTGGCGCTTAACATGCTGCCTTGCCCAGAACAGGTGCTTCATAAACATTTACTGAGTCATGAATGGGCCTCTGTGGTCTTTCCAATTCTCTAGCACAAGCCCCCTGCCCACCCAGAAGACGTATTTATAGAGCAGTGATTCTCCCAGGAGAAAGGGAGTATTCAAAGCATTTCCAAAACTTCAGCATTGTCCTTCTACCCCCCACGGAGTTGCTGTGAGTCAGAGTAACATCTCCCAGGTGATTCAGAAAAGGAAAAAACACCTTGCAAGCCACTGATTTAAAGGCTACCTCAAAATACTCTCCTGCTCCTATTCCCATAATGTTTTACATTTCTCAAACTGTTTCACTTACCTATAATGGCACCCCAAGGTCAACTCAGGGCAAGGGTTCTCTCTGCTCTTTAGAACCTAGTGACACATACATTTAGACATGTGACTGTTGATCTGTTTAAAACAAATCAAGGTTGCCCATGGGCAAGAGGAGAGATCAAACACATACCGTTCCTAAGTAGAACAGCAAATGTCAAAAGAAAGGCTTGAGTTCAGAGCCTGACAACAGGGCTGGCCACTAACTTCTAAAGTGAATTTTCAATGACAGAAAAGAGAATCCTTCAAACCAGAGAAACAGCACAGAAGCTGGGAAGCAATGGCAGGACTCCTGTGAAGAGAACCTCTGAGAAACACCTAGAGAGCCAGTGGGCGGCTATCTGAGGTGTGAGGAATGCTGGAAGCAGGACCTGCCCCACATTTCCCGAGGGGGAAAACAACGAACCACCACCATACAGCTCTCCTCCCTCCTCCTTCACACACAGCCAGCAAGGCCCGACATGCACATCTACCTGGGAAAACATCCCTTGTCAGGATACACCTGATGGAGAAACCTGGGCCATGGGAAAGCCCCTGTGTGGGCCAGCAAGGTGACATCTCAGGGGTATGTCTTCCAAAGGAAGTTTCCATTCAAAAAAGTTCCTAAGAGGAACAAGACTTTTCCACTGTCGTCAACCACGGACTGAATGGTGATAAGTGGTATCTCCACAGATGGCAGGAAGAGTCTGCTGATAAGAGCTCTAGGCGGGGACAGGCATGGACACAGCACAGGGCCTTGGTCAACCGGCTTTGCTTCAGCGGATGAACGAATGTGACCTACTCGTTTGACTGACCCAACCCTTCTGCGAAAACCAAGACAAAGGAGGCTTCTGTAGGTTAAGCTTCCCACTTGTCGGCTGAGCCAACAAGGCAAGTTATTTCAGTTGACACTCGGCACAGGAAGAGCCCTAGTTATGTCTCTAGTCTGTACGTTACAGAACATGACACCATGATCTAGGGGGATTAGGCAACACAAGTAGAGCCTGTTATGATAATAGCTTGAGAAGGAAACAAAATTCCTTTTGTCACTAAAATAATCCAGAACAGTCTCCACCTTACTGGCCTGGGACGCAGCACAAAGCAAACCCTGAAGCAAGAGGCTCCACCGAGAGCAGGGGAGAAGAACTTAATAGGGAAGAGGACGAAAGTCCTTTCTCAACGGCCAGAGTGGGACCCGGCTGGACTGCAGCTCTTCTCTACAGAGGGTCTCCAGCTGCTTGAGAAACTGCACACTTTGAAGGTACCTCAGTCCTGGGGTCCCTTCGGGTGCTGTGTCCAAAGCTAGCAACTTCCAGGTGTGACTATGGAAGAGACAGAAGAGAAACAAGGAAAGAATATTAGCTTCAGGTGCCAAACACTGCACACTTGTGCCAGGTCCTGGCTGGGTCCCGATGAATCTGCAACCTCTTGAGCCAGCTCTGCGCTGCCGGTGCAGGACTCCGAGCAGGTAAAGGGAGGAACAGGACAAAGTGACACCCTCTTCCATCACCAACACCACAGGCATCTCCTAAGGATGGCCACACGACCTGGCACTGAGGCCCAAACAGCAGAGATGACTTCCACCCAGAAACTCCAGGGAACAGCAGCACATACAAAGAAAATAATCAGAGCTCAAAAATATCAATTCTATCTGGTGGGCAGATAGATATTTATTATTTCATTCCTCTTTGCACTTTGTATTTTTATAAATGTACTAAGATACAGAAGATCAACTAGGTCAGCTCAGTTCATTTCCTCTTGTATTTAATGGGTTTCCCACCTGCTCCAGAGAGAGCCTAAGGAGGCAGCCTGTCCTTCCAGCAGAATGACAGATGGGGTGAAGCCCCTCCCAGACAATCCATATCTGAGCTCTCACCAGCAGCCTGTGCTGGGCCCTGACGCAGCCACTGAGCAGTTATGTGGGCAGCTTCCACTTAAGGGCCCTTTGAGACAGGGTCCCCTGCGAACAAACAAACAGTACTCTGAAAATGACAAGGGAAAAAACTCCCTAGTCCCTTGCAAACAGAAGGCCTTCCCTGTGAGGACACAGCACCTGCAATGTGTGTGTGTGTGTGTGTGTGTGTTTTCTTTTTCCTGTCTTCAGTGAGTTTAAGATATCAACGCAGAGCACGATACCTGCAGGAGTTAACCAAATTATACAGACAAACATGGTGACCTGGGAGGAAGTCAGAGGAGGGCATGGGGCTCCTGGCATCTAGAGGAGGGAGAAAGCGCTATGTATGGGCTGGAGGAGGGAGGGAGCACGCACTGTCCAGAGCGCGTAGCCAGCTTGGAAGCAGGCCAGATGGAAACAAGCACAGGCAGGTGGGGGTGGAGCACGCCCAGAGAACCAGCAGCGCTGGGAGCAAGGAAGAGATGCCAGGGATTGCAGGCAGCTTAGGAACAATAGTGTCACAAGCCAGAGGTTGTGGTTGCTCTGCCCCCCCCCGCCCCCCCTCCCGCATCACAGGAGAACAATTCTGTCAACAGGCTAAGAAACAGCTGGCTTCGGGAGCCCGCCGTGGGGGGGCAGGGATCAGGACCCAGACCTTGTCCTCAAGGGGCCCCCACCACCAGCAGCTCACAGAGGTCACAGCGATCACATATCAGCAACCTGGATAAGAAGGCTGAAGGGACACACGATTGGATAGAGTTACTTACACCTCTTAAAATAGATCAAGGTTTCAGAGGGACTGATCAACTAGAGATAGGGCCTAGCAGGGCAGGGGCAGATGGAAAATCAAATACGAAGTCAGACCTCGACTTGGAGAGGGGAAGGCTAGCAACTCACTCGAGCAATCCACATTTGAGTGTTTACAGATTTTAGCAGTGAACTGCTGTGACTGAAAAGCAGAGGCAAAGGGAGGCTACAGAACATTCTTAGCTGTGCGGGCCTCAAGAGGGAGAGTGGGACCCCATTCTGACTCTCAAATTCATCAGTTGGGTAAAGAGCTCCCTGGTGCTGGAGGAAGCAACACGTGAAATAGAGGAAAGGTTAACCAGGATTTAGTTCCTTGGAGGAGGAGGGGTAAGGGAGGTTTGGGTGACAACCACGGGACAGGAGCTAGAGTTACAGCAAGAGTTCAGGTAACTATAGGCAGAGGTGACCGGCCCCAAGGAAGCTGAAGACAAACCAAACCCAAAAAGTTGCAGAGGATTAAGAGAATGACCCACTGTTTAAAATCAGGAAAGAAAAAGAGATTGTCCAATCCGGCTATTACCCACTTAGGACAGGAGACACAAGTGTGGGGGTCTCTATTTTCCTTTTATATTTTGATTATGAAAATTTCCAGACCTATTCAAAAACAGAATAGTATCATGAACCTTCAGGTACCTATTACCCCCGGCTTCAGCTTCAATAATGTTGGCCGTGTGCTACTATTATTTCATCTTATATCCACTTCTTTAAAACTATTTTAAAGCAAATCCCAAATAACCTATTATACAGAGGACACTTCTGAGGCCTGTTCAACTCTGATCCTACAGCTTTGGGAACTCATCTGCGGGAAGTAACATGGCCTGGTTACACTCCACGCTGCAACTGCCCACAGGTTTAAACAATGAAAACCATTTTAAATATTGACTGTAAGTGGTCAACTCAGCACGAAATTTAAATGTTATGAAAAAGGTCTGTATGTTCAATTTGCAATTGTGTATTGAGTGCCCATCTCTATGTCAAGTGCTGCCGCAGCCTTAGGGACACAGAATGACTAAAACGGGAAAAATACAGCCCTGTTCTAATTTGTGTAAAACACACAAATAGGAATTGTCAAAGCTTAAAAATAAATATTTGTAGACATTTTAATGACTTTTATTTTGTACCTTACTGAATGATCTGCCCCCGCCCACTGTGGGGTCCACATGTACCCCACTTTGTGGCCACCTTCCACCTCCTTGAACAATACCTGCATCCTGGCCAGAGTCTCAGTCAGTTCCCCAAACTGCTCTGAACTGCTAAATAAAACTGCTAGACCCTGAAAAGCTGGTCACATCTGGAGATAGAATAACACTGCCTGCCAGAGCCTGCAAACAGACTGAATTCAGGAGAGAGACAAGGATAGTCAGTGTCACCCCATGATGGTAAGAAGCATGCAGGGGTGGGCAGGACACTGCTGGTGACTATCACCTGGTCAGGTGTTGGAGGCCAAATGGATGGGGTGGGCGGCGCTGGAGAAGAGTGGCAGCCATGGGGCCTGTTGGTTACGGGCTGGCCTTATCTGAGATGTTCTTTGAGGATTCCACGGCTTCGGCCTTTGCCTCCAGGGTGAAGGATCTTCAGCTTGCTCGAACTCCTGGCATCATGGAGTTGATCTCTGACTCATGCCAGGAGTGAGAAAACCAGACTGGTACCGGCTTCAGAGTCCAGTCTGTCTCTGGGCTGCTCAGCCACACCCCGTTGGATCCAAGTTCCATCCTCTATGATGTAGCTGGTTGGACAGTTTGTCAGGCAAGGCCCCAGCCAGCCGGACATTCTGGGGGATCTCAGAGGTTTGCCTGAAGCACAATGTGGGTGACTGATTTACAGAAGGAGCAAGCAGCTATTTGACCATTCACCAGTGACACAGAAGCAGGGTTTGATTTTAAATGGGAATACCAGGTAAACACAGACCACAGTACAGTTATGTCAAACTCCCTCACATCTTCTGCACAGCCCACAACTACCTGCTGCTCAAACATAACTGAAACCCCAGGGAGAGATGGCCTGGCTGGACTCCTAAATGTAAGCTGGAACTCATAAAATCATAGGTTTTGATCTACAGATTTTCAATACCTTGATCTTAGCTCAAAGATCTAAGCTTTGCCAGTATCAGAATATACAAACCTGGAACATTTCAGTGTGTATCTTGTCCATGGGACAGAGGGCCAGCTATGTGTCTCCTAGTCTCAGCCAGTCATCAGGTAATATTAGCTGCTTATTAGCAGTAAAGTCCTACATTGAATGCTGCTGAAAACTCAGAAATCACGATGACTTGGTATCCTAAATGTCCAGAGGTTGGAGTGTGACTAGAGTGCCCATCTGGGGTATCAAGATATGCACCAAATGAAAAAAACAAATGAAAGACAGAGGCAGGGATTCCATTCAAAACCGAATAGCCAGTACAGCTGGACACCAACCAATCCGAAAAGGGGCAGGCCACGCACTGCCCCAGAATAGGGCTCAGGAGATGCTCCGCTGACATGGGCATTAATTCTACCGTGTTGGAATAGGGGCTGGGGGCATTGGGGACAGCAGCTATTCTATAATCAATATGGAAGTATCTTGGCATTTTAACCACCAGTGCGGTTGCTGGTACATTCCACCTGGATGTCAGTCTGGGGTTTTGGTAAGCGGTTTGGAGTCTGAGGATGGCAAAAGAGACATTAACAAAAGTGGCTCCAAAGGTCAGCCTTGAGGAACCAGGGCGGGATGAGGAATGGTAGTGCAGACAGCCTGAGGTGGGCATGCAGGACCTAGGAGACCCTTCCAGGACTGGGGAGTTTGGTCAGATGAGAGTATACATACAGGGTCTTGGGGTGTAGAGACATGGAGTGAACCCTGTGTCACCAGTTTATTTTGCAAAAGACCCCATAGGAGGTGGCTGGGGAAAGGCATGGGAAATAGTTGGATGGGATCAGACCGTGGAAGCCCCCAACAGCCAAGCTAATTAAAGCCCTCTTGAGGCCTTCCAGAAGGGAGTTCCTCAAAGGCTTCTGGGCAGAGAAAGGATTAGATCAGAGCCCTGCTTTAGCAAAAGACATCATCCTCTTCCTTTTCTGTTTTAACTTTGGACTTTTGCTGTCTAAACTAGAGATGATGGACTCTGAAGTAGGGGGTGACACTGAGAACAAAAGGAAGCAATGGAAGTATATTGGGCAACATTGTCCAGGGAGTAAGTTAAAATAAGCAGAATCTGCTGATGGGCTGGATTTCAGGACACAAATCAGGGATAACACCAAAGTTTGTTCCTCAGGGCCCAGGAACAAACTCCACGATGTGTCATGGGCAGAGGGGAACACAGGCTATGTAACCTTGGCTAAGGCATGTATTGCCTGCACCACTTACTGCGTCAGTCGGTGTTAGGACATTTCCGTGAACTGGGAAGCCGGGTTCTTCTAAAGAAGCTCAGAGGTACAGGGAGAATGAAGAAGTAGCTGAGTCTGGTGTGGAATCAGGAGTTTCTAGCCCGTAACCCTCTTCAACCACAACAGCCCTGCTTTTATTTATTTCACATAGTGGGCCTCTGTCCTAAATTTTTATGGGTAAAAGGGCCTCATAACCAGTAGACAATCCACAGTGCCTTCAAACCTTTTCTCTCGAGTTTTCAGCATGATAAAACATGCCGAGAAGACCCATTTCTGGTAAAAGTACCCCAAACATTGCAGCAGAAAGCAAACTGATGCACCACAGAGAGGCCAGTCCCCAACTTCAGTTAGCCACGTGCTACCATCTCTGCTAAGCATGGGTTGCTTCTGCCAACCTGTCCATCTCTTCCTTCTGCACACTTGCTGCAACACTCTTGTCTCTTGATTGTTCTCCATTCTTACAAGACCAACTTCCAAGACAGGTGAAGTTTTCTGCTTCTGAATTATCTAAAAAATCCAAACTGGTAGGATGTGATCTTAATTCTCACTGAACCAAGCTGAACTAAAACATGTTGTGTCTTTCAGGTCTTTGGTGGCACAAGACCAGGTGCAAATGAGACAGGGAATAGCCAAGGAGGACAATGCCACCAGCTGGATAATGTGGAACCTTCCAGGCTCTCAAAACTAGGGATGCTTGTAGGCGCAGAGGGGCAGAAGGGATGAGTAGTTAGTTCGGAGCCAGGCCCTGACATCAGACTGCCAAGGTTCAAGCCCTGGCTTGGGTAATGTAATCTCTGTACCTATTCTTTCTGGTATTGTAGAACATGGATCACTGTAGTCCTCACCTGACAGGGCACTGGGAGGGTTAGCTGAGTTAATGTGTCTGAAGCACTAAGAAGAGTGATGTTCGCTGTGACCAGGCCCTCTATTCCCTAATCCTGCCTTAGGTGACTGGGGCACCACTGTCAGGAGCCCCGCCCTGCACTGTGTTTGACAGTTAAGTCTAGAGGGAGAGAAAAATGAGTCCCTCTAGCAATTTTCTATTAACTCTGGTTTATATAAGAATAAATGGTATTCAGTGTATCTTAGCCTTATATATACGAACATTTCTTCCACAACAAGCCTGAGGGGACCAGACCGATTACTGTAGCAGCCAAAACTGTGCAAATGAACAGATAAGACATTTCAGAAGTCCTTCCCAGAATCAAGAAATTATGTAAGTGGCAATGTACATATCCTCCTTTGACGTTCCAACTCTGGCCAAACTATGAAATCCTTGTCTCCACAGCTTGGAACACAGGAACCCAAAAGTTATTAAAATTCATTCATTAATAAAAAGACTTTTCAAATCATTGTCAATTTCAACAATTCTAAAGCAGTCATGGCCTATTCCTTAAAAAAAGATATACTAAAATTATAGGGAACTTGGTGAACTATTCTGAAACAGACTGTTGTTCCTCTGTACCCAACGACAGGGGAATATGGGCTATTGTCACTGTGGTGTGGGCAATTGCTTCAAACTATGTGTCACCTCAGACTTACATAAACTGGCATTTCTCATGAGTTAGTAATCAGCATTTTCCATAAGGAACTGGAGAAAAAATGAGAATCTGACAGTGATGCCACGAATACTGGTAAAACACCTCTACTTTCAAGTTCAGAAAGTCTAGCCTTAAAGGATGTTACTATATACGTTGTAATCCAGGAGTCTAATCCAGTATGTCATCCAAACAAAACTGTTTACAAAACATGACTAAGGAATCAAACCTGGCAGAATCGGGTTATAAGAGACAGTAAACTCTAAAGAATAATGAGCATATGTTTTAAGTGACAAACCTGCTCAACATATCAGCAACTGGTCTTAAAATTTCCATCTTCCTCTAAGGTTATGGAACATTTAAATGTAGAAATTTACTAGTATGTCTATAGTTTTGCTTTTTTCAGAAAGTGAAATTCGAGGGGAGAGAGGAGAAATTCCCAACTGTAATGACAAGTGAACCTGACTTTTCCTTAGCCCCTCCCCTAACAGCACAACTTTTCCTACAAGACCGCTACATCAAAACAGAAGACGCAGCAAGACCTGGACATTAAGCAAGACACTGCAGAATGTTGGTACACTTGCACTTATTCCAAACTTCATCAAAAAGTGAAAGTAGCTGTATGATCTAAATAGATACCTGTCCCTACCTGCATTTGTCACCACAGCTAGCTCTTAAATCCTCCAAATTAAAAAAGCCCAGATATTTTTTGGTCAGGCTGTCTGCAATAATCATAAAAATACTGCCAAAATATGCATAACAGAGACAGGAAGGAAATATGTCAAAAAGCTTATAATTGTGGGGGAAGGGTGATTATTTAAAAAGCGTTCTCTATTTAATGCAGAAAACAAAGGTTTATCATATAGGTCTAATTTGTCTGCGTTACGTTAAGTGAGGGAGGGAGGCATAAGGTGTGCTACTTTAAGGATTTTCTTATGCCACTTACACCATTTTAGCCCGTAAGACTTCAGTCTTTTGCAATCTTTTCACAAGTAAGGAATCAAGTTTCAGACTGGGAAGGGATTCTAATCAGCAGTAGAAGGAATGTCTGCCACTGCTGCTCCAAGCTAAAGTCGGTGCCTTTAAAAGTTCCACCTTCTCAAGTCCACCCAACACAGATCGTCAGCTCAAACCTTAAGTTTTAACCCAACCTAACTGCCACCTCCACTTGAAAAATGCAGAATCAGACTATCAGCTTCTGATCGACTTTTTGGTGGTTTGTGTCAGCAAACAATGCTTACATTTGGGGAAATCACACGTGAAATGTGTGCTGGAATCTGTGACATTTAACCAGTTTTCTCTCGTGCTAAGCAAAGATCAATAAATAAAGTCCTTTAAGTCTTAACTTCAAAAGCCAACGGGAATTATTACAACGGTCTTAATTGAGCTCCCAGCCTGGAAGGCGGGGTGGGTGGGGCGGGGGTCTGCAGTCCTAACGCGCACACTCTGCACCGTCCCGGGCGGCCGGCCTCCGGGCTTCGGTCCAAGTGTCCGTTCAAGTCATCGCCCGACTCTCCGTCGACGCGAGCGGACAGATGTCATCTTTGCTTCCTAATTTCAAAAAATGCCAGGGTCCTGCATCCACGACTCCCTCGCGGCTGTGGTACTCCTCTGGAGAGGAAACACCGCGAGAAGGTCTACATATGGCAACCGGCTTCGAAGGCTGCATCCGACTCTCCGGCGAGCGGGCGGCGGGGCCACCCTCGCCGGGAAGCCAGCGCGCCGGGCGGCCCGATGCGTCCCCGCGCGGCCGGAGCGCGCGTCCACCCCGGGCCGCGGGGCAGGGCGCACGCCAGGGGCCGGGAGCCGCCGACCCCGCCCGTGGGCGCCTCTCCTCGCCCGCGGCTCCGGGGCCGGCTCCCCGCCGGGCCGGTCCCCCCGCCGCACCCACGAGGGGCCGGGCCGCGGCGCGCGCCCCCCGCCCCGCGCGCACCAGCCCCGCGCCCGCGCCCGCGCCGCAGCCCGCGGGAGGCCCCGGCCCCGGCGCAGGAAGCGCGGCGCCCGCGCGGCCGGGAGGCCTCCGCCGCGGCGGGAGGGGAGTCGAAGGGCAGAGGCCGGAAAAGCGGAAGGTGCCCAGGGGCAGGGGCGGCCCGCGAGCCTCCCCGCGGCGGGGGCGCCGGTCCCGCACCTCCGCCCGCTCGCGCGCCGCCGCGGGGCCGGGCCGGACGCCGCTCCCCTCCGCGGGCGCACTCACCTCCTCCGCGCCCGGCCGCCGCGCCGCCGGCTGTCACCCCAGCCCACTGCCTGCCCCGCGCCGGCTCCGGCTGCTATTTAAGGGCGCCGCCGCGCCGCCGTCCGCTGGCTGCGCCCCAACCTCGGCCGCGGCCGAGCCAGGTTGCTGCGGGTGCGCGTGCCGCGCCCGCCCGCCCCGCCCGGCCCCGCCCCCCGCAGGCCCCGCCCGCAGGCCCCCGCCCCCCGCCGCGCGCCCGCCCGCCCGCCCCGGCGCGCGCGTGTCGGCCCCGGCCCGCAGCGGGTCCGGGGAGGCAGCGAGCGGGCGCCGCGCGACTTCACCGGGCCGCCCTGGGGTTGCATAACCAAGCTGAGGCGGGGCAGAGGGTGCACTGCTCCTTGACCTCACGCCCGCGAATCCTGGGGTCTGCAGGGAGGCGGGGCCCCGGAGACGCCCTGGAGCTTCGGGCACCCTCCGCCGCGTGCCCTGCGGACTTGTCCACACGCAGGGGGTTCTGCAAGGAGGGGCCCGGGTGGCCAGAAGGCTTAGCTTGCTGATTTTCTTTAGCACCGACATGTTCGCTCCCTTTTAACATGATTTCATCAGGTCCCCAGTAGGGGTTACGCCACAGGCCCTGGATGGGAAGACTCTTCTGGACTTCTGCAACGCGCTGGCCATTAAGCAACCCTGGAGACATGGGCCGCGGAGTAGAGCAGAGCACAGACCAGACGTTGCTCAAGGACGGTATTCACCGGCCGTGCGGTTTTGGAGGGGTCTGCATCCTGCAACTTTTTTTCAGCTAGCGTCCCAAATGTAATTTTCTGTAAGCACCCAAGATCTGCCAGTCTCTGCCATCTCACATATAGTGGTGCTTGCGGCCCACACTGGGTGAAGGGCTGTTATCTACTGCTCTTAGGAATTTGAGGCACAAGAAGAATTATGGTTAATAAACAAACACCTTTGATCATGCAGACACTGTTGATTAAAATCACCGCACACACATTATCTTATGAATCTTCATCATAACTCTATGAGGCGGGTGATGTCATTTGTCGCCTTTTACAGATGAGGAGACTGAGGTTCAGAGAGGTTGACTCTAGTGAGGGCACAGCTGCAGTTGGGACTCAGCCTTGGAAGCCTGCAGGTAGTAACCACGGGACTATGCTTGCACATTTACATTCCAGTGAGATATTGCTGACTGCCGGCCTGGGACATCCTCACGTTGATCTGGCAAATACCCTAAGGTCTTTCTCTGGGCTTCTCTGGGTTTTCCAGAACATCCGACCTTGCTGCAGTAATTCTTTGCTCCCCCTGCGTCTGGCATGGTGGTTATCGTGCTGCTGAGGACAATTCACAACCAACAGCCTCTGTACCAGCTCAGCTCTCCTGGATCACATTCTAGATGTTTGTTCCATTTAAATGGAAAAATAAAAGACTCCATTTTCATTTTTATTGGTTTCCACTTGGCTAGTCCTTGGTTTCTCTGTTCAGGGCTCCTTCTACCCACCCATGATCTCATCATTTTTTAGCCTCTCCTTTTTCCCTCTTACTTTTCCAACCAGTCCTTCAGCCTGTGTCTCCAAGTACTTCTCAAGTTCTGTGATGAATTAGCCTGTTAGGACTCCATGAGACAGTACCACAGCCAGGTGGCTTCAACAACAGAAATGTATCGCAATTCTGGAGGCCAGAAATCTGAATCAAGGTGTGGGTAGGATTTGTTCCTTCTAAAGGCTGCATGTTCCTTCTAAAGGCTCCAGGCCTCTCTGGCTCATAGCTAGCTGTCCTCTCCTCATGCCTCCTGACATAGTTTTCCATTTATATATGTCTGTTATTTCTCCTGCCTCTACGGACACTGGTCATATTGGGTCAGGGTCCACCGTAATGACCTCATTTTGACTTGGTTCCCTTGGTAAAAAGCCTGTCTCCAAAGTCACATTCTGATATAGTGGGGGGTTAAGAGTTCAACATACATTTGTGGGTAAGGGCACAAAATTCAACCCATACTCCTGACAGTTTTCCCTGACTTACCTTCTCCCTTCTCTCTTGAAGATACTCTTCTCTCTATTGGCTTGCCTCTCCCTAGCTCTTGCTTTCATTGCAGGTGATTTATTACTCTGCAGTGGGAGAGACATAGAAGCAACGGATTACATCTAGTCCTACTCACTCAGGCAGAAGCTGCTGTGTGACATTGGGATACAACTTCATTTCCCAGAAGTTCACATTTCTCCTCTGGAAAGAAGGGAGCCAGACTACATCACTTCTTCCGTCCCTTTTAGCATGAACACTTACAAAAAAAAAGATTCCTTTTTGTTAATCATTTGACAATGTTTCACAATTTGTGGGGTTGTCCTACGATTACCAGATAGTAATGGGAAGCAGTATTATCAGTGGTTACGAGCAAAAACTTTGGATTTGTGCAATCTGCTGCAAGCCCCATTTCATTCTCTACAAGACAGAAATAATAGTACTTCTAGAAGGGTATGGGAAGGATTAATAGCTTATGGCCTCAGTTTTCTCATTAAATAAAGGTTCTAAACTCTACATGTGGGGTTCCATTTTGTGACTTGGAGAGAGAAAAGAATCCAGTCTTTTCTTATTATTGAGATATAATTGACATACAACAT